TTTGGAATATCACTAGTCGAATTAATCATTACTAATCAGTGGTGAGTTCGATCCTCACAAGGTGACTCAGTTGTGTTAAACAAAGCTAAGTAAATTAAGGACGTGAGTTTTAAGAATATATTTTAACACCACTTTAAAATATTAAGTCTCTAATTTTTCGAGTTTGGTCCTCGCTGTGTGCCCCATACATTCGGTCTTGTGCCACATCAAAGCTAAATTTAGAAAACCATTTTGAAATTTCTAAATCTAGGAATTCGGTTCTCACTGGGTTGCCAGTTACTCTTATCTTGCGTTGATGTAAATGTTTTGTGCACTTGATGTGACCTAATAGAAAACAAGCTCGTCGAAAAGAATGTATTATTGAGGTTGTATTCAGTCCTTTTTTTAGTGCTCAACGTACGTAGACTTGTGCCATATTTTGAGCTGCAACATATCACAGGTGAGATTTTATCTTCTTGTATATTAATGATCAAAGTTTTGCCGTTAAAGAGAAGTTACTTCAAACAATTTCCAAAGTTTATGGTAAAATATTCAACGGACAATTTAAATTTGAAATCAGTTGAGGTCTTTTTTTTTAGTAAACTGTATATATCTTTTGAATAAATTTTAAAAAGAGTACATAAATTTCAAATAAACAAACTTCTGGTTGAAATAAATGTTCTTATGTCTATAATAAATGTATGTGTAAATTCCGATAATCCTGTAAAAGCAATCGGATTAGCAAAATATATATGTATATCTACGTAAATATTATTAAAGGATAATCGTATCTGAAATAGAAGCCCCATTTAAAAAAAAATGGTGCAGAGTATACTTATTAACATATAAAAAAAATTGGCATCATACGGGCATTAATTTCTTAGAAATGGATAAATATATTAAAAAAATTTTGGGCGTACGAATAATATATATATATATATATATATATATATATATATATATATATATATATATATATAAGTGAACATAGAAGTCAACATTTAGAGGCGACAGGCTGTTTCATGCTAGACGCAATCGTCAGGCCACGAGTGTTGTTTTTTTTTCTCGGCTATTTATATATACGGGTCAGTGGTGCATTGTGGATAGTCTATTTTGGCGGTTATTTTGCCGGGAGTCGTTTATTTATTTATTTATCGCCTCTAAGTGTTGAAATGTCTAAATGTTCACTTTTATATTTTCACACGCTCTATCTGATATTAAGCACTTCCCATTAAGAGTATATTTCTTCTCATATATATATATATATATATATATATATATATATATATATATATATATATATATATATATATATAAGTCGACTCTCCTGTCGAATTCGATGTATCAGAGTCAAGGAGATCAGCACATGGAATTCGATTATAGTGGTGAAGGTTTTGTGCAGAACCATTTACACTTTTTGAAGGGCCGAATACAAAGACCTTGTGCACTACAGGCCACAAGGTCCCCAAACGACGCTCTACAGGTTTTGAATTCAGAATTGCCCTTCTCCTAGACCAGGTGCCATCAAAGGCTATAGAACCTAGTGTGTCCCGCTATTTACCCTTAGCTCGAAGGAGAACAGGCTTCATACGTTTTCCCAAGGGTATTAGCACGTAAGTGTATGTAATGGATTCGACCGGAATTCGAACTCGGCTCCCCGATTCCTCTATCAATTACTCCACCGCGTGTAACAGCAAAATTGTACAGATCGTGTAACATCAGAATTTGCCTATACCGTAAAATGATGAATATCTAAAAGTACCTTAAACTAATTGAGTTTTTTTCCCAGGTTTTTAGATAAGACGTTTAAGCATCTTGCCACCATTTAAACTTGAGAATTACTGAAAATCCCATTGATTTACACAGCTAGAATGAGAAAAGGTTAAAATCCTTTTGTGTCAGACCCACGGTCTTCCAAACAAAGCAATGGCGAGAGGAAAAATTTCATTCGGGCCTTAAGTAATAGTACCAACATTCATACTCTAGCTTCCATCTTGAAATCCATTTAAGAACGATCCAGATAACGAGGGGGCAGTATAAAAAAGAAGTAGAAGTAGAGAGGAAAACTGGATTTGGAGGTCACAACAGGAACAGGGATCATCATTTCAACTTAGAGCTAAGGAGGTCAATTAGAAAAGATCCAACTGAATCCATTAGACGTTTGGCACGTGAGAGAGGAGTTTCATCTATGACAGTCCAAAGAGCAGTCAAAAAGGACTTGAAAATAAAAGAGTACGTGAAACCTGGACAGAAAACTAGAAGGTTAGATAGGGCGAAGATCATCTTGAATAAATTGGAAAATGATCCTGAAGTAAGATATATATATATATATATATATATATATATATATATATATATAATGTGTGTGTGTGTGTGTGTGTGTGTATGTGTGAGTGAACTTTATTTCAATGCTTAATGAGCTTCCGTTCTTTAGCTACGATTAATTAATGATGAACATGCCATTTTCGTTTATGGTCGATTTCATCATGATTTTTCTTTTAAGCTTGGAATAAAATACATTCTTATTGCTTAATGTAGATTATAATTAGGTTAGGAAAACGTTGAAACATTCCAGTTAGATTCCTTTAATCATTTCTGAGATAAAACGTTTCAAAGTATAATATAAGAATTGGACAATTTTACTGCTACACGATTTCGACAATTTTGGTGATACACCCGGTATATATATATATATATATATATATATACCGGAATGTATATATAATAATTAATGTGCGTGTATTTGTGTGTGCGTGCGTGTATATGTTTTGCTAACCCAAGTAGTCTTACATGATTATCAGGAATTGTATACATATTTATTGCGATAATAAGAACATTTATTTGAAACATATATTTTATTCAACACACACACACACACACACACACACACACACACACACATATATATATATATATATATATATATATATATATATATATATATATATTTGAAAGCGTTTTTGTTGTTTCTATCAGACGTTTCGGCTGTGGTGATTCCGACCTTCTTCAGGTCTTTCTCGATCCCGATGAACATTCGGTGATTAGGAAAATAATACTTTATTTAATCTACGGAGTTAGGCTCTTTTTATCCGTTGTCTAGGGTTATATCGCCTTCTTTTTAAAAAGTGACCTATAGTATATTGTTGACTATTACAGTAAGAGTGTTAAATTATTTCACTGATGAGATAGAAAAATTTACTCAGATATTAATAATGAAATACTTCAATGATGAGGAAATAATTCGAGCGTTAACAACGGATGAGGGTTATTCTATTTAAAGTTCTATGAAAAAATTGCATACAATTGAGATTTAAGATCTTCCTGCTGAGAAAGCAGCCATTGTATAGCAATATGTTTTCGTCTTGAGGTTCGTTCAAAGCTCTTTAGTGTGCTTTCTACCTGACTTGGTTTACTTAACCTAAATTAAACTAGCTTCAATGATTTAGCCAACGGATTTGTAATCAGTTTTAAATGTCTCTCATGCTTTTTTTTATATGTCTGATATTTTCTTCATCGAATAATATTTTTTCTGAAAGTCTTCGTCGGAAAAGAATCTAAAGCCATTATTATTCATTTTGTTCGCTTTTCTATAGTTTCGTATTTTTCTTTCGAATTTTCATTTTTTTCGGCGGGTTTTGTCCACGTGCGGAATTTTAGTGTTGCCTTTGATGATTGCATTTTTATGCAGAGTGCAGCTACAAAATTCTACAGAGTGTGAATAAGGCGGGAACTGATCAGTTGTTTCGATTAGTTTGAAGAAATATGCTTTTGTATCAATGCAGGTTGAACGAAGATTGAAATTCGACACTTTGATCGATCAAGAAGAATGTGAAAACTTGCAACACACACAAACACACACACACACACATATACACATCTGTTGATAGATGCAGGTTCGAATTCTGTCGGAGAACACATATTTTCTGACAATATTTTTCGCATATTCATGACAGTAAATGTAATTAAATAAAAATTCTGCTTAATTAAATAAACAGACCATTTACTTGAATTTGAGTATTTATCTAAAATAACGTTTAAGAAATCAAATTAAAATATGTCTAATTTAATTCATTTCAATATATATATATATATATATATATATATATATATATATATAGATAGATAGAGAGAGAGAGAGAGAGAGAGAGAGAGGATATAAGTTAAAATAATGGATAAGTGGAGATATTACAAGACTATCTATCTATCTCTCTTTATATATATATATATATATATATATATATATATATATATATATATATATATATATATAGTTAAATTCCCAGATCAATTCTGTGGAGAAGACAAATTGGTATAAAATGACAGTGGGAAAAAAATCTTAGATTTTACCGACGCGTTTCGTTTTCCGACTTTTTCAAGGCAAAAATGAAATTGAAATGTCTTTGTTGTTACAGTTACATTAAAAAATCCAAATTTAAAAAGATAGACGCTTCTGTCTAAGCCTTTTTCTGGTTAATGTAAATTTCCTTCATACTAAGAGATATTTTTTCCATATCGACAATATAGTTAAATTCCGAGATCAATTAATCATTGAATGTAGAGTTGACACAATCACTTGATAAGACAGCAGAAGTGTTGAAACAGAATGGCTATTTTAATACTGATGTTATAATATGTTTATGCTATAATTTTTGAATAAATAATATTTGCTCTACTTTAAATTGAGTGTTCTCTTAAGAATAGTATTTTTGGTTATTGGAATTTATTCCGCCTACACCAATACGATATATATATATATATATATATATATATTTATTAAAGACATTTTTATGTTTAACGTTGTTATTTATAGATACAAGTATTTAAGCAAATGCTCTGTTTATGATAAACAGTATTAAATAACATTTACCGGCCTGAATGTCCGAGAAATTTTCATAGAAAATATTCGTTCTTTGACAGGATTCGAACCTGCATCCTATACGGAACCGTCATTTACGCTGACGTGCCTAACCTCTGGGCCACAAAGAATATATGTGTATGTGTATGTGTATGTGTGTGTGTGCATGCATTTCATTCTGTTAATTATCACATTCTGTCCACATCTATCTATCTATCTATCTATCTATCTATCTATCTATCTATCTATCTATCTATCTATCTCTGTTAATGTCTATCTATCTATCTATCTATCTATCTATTTCTGTTAATATCTATCTATTCTTGTTAATATCTATCTATCTATCTATCTATCTATCTATCTATCTATCTATCTATCTATCTATCCTCGGGCTTTCACAATGACGTCCAAAAAAGTATAGAGACTCGTTCAAACTAATACTGGGATAGTGTCTAAACAACCAATTGAATGTTGACAAGAATGTATTTCGCCAGATTCCAAACTTAGAAGAATCGCTTCCCGTTTTCTTACTTGATGTTGAACCCTAATTCCGGATACCTGTTGAACGCGCTTACATTCATAGATCTGGCATTTTTTAAACGGAATGTTACGTTTGCATATTAGCGACAACTGCTGCGCCACCAAGAAGAATCCTTACGAAGAACGCTGAAACAGTGTGATTAAAACCATCAGCAATAGAAAGTTAAGTCCGTTTTTCCGAACAAGTTTGTAAAATTAATGACTCTTCTCAAAGTAGCTGTATTTTAATGCTGATAAGTTACAGCTACAAGAACGTTCGTCATATCAATTAAGAATTTTCCAACTGGGATAAAATGGAAAAGAAAATTGTCTTTTGCCAATATTTCAAGTAGAAGTATCTAGCCCGTGTGTCTGGAGTGTCAGCATCCAAAAGCCTAAAAACCAAATTCTTTTACCCGAGATGTTGCAGAGTAATAGAGACGTACGTAAATATGTCGCCCTTGAGGCAACCCAGACGATACATTTATCAGATTGTAAGTTTATTATTGGGGATTATATTTCTCGTGGTGAAGATACAACGAATATTCTAACTTCTAAATAATTAAAACAGGCAAATCTCCAGGCGTGTACTTTCAACGTGAGTAAAACTAAATTGGCTTCGTTGATATTTTTTTCTCTAATCGGATTTCCAAGTCTCCTATTCTTTTTGTAATGCTTTCCAAGAGTGTTCCAAGTAAACCTGTAATTATTGAGATAAACGTTACATTCACAGGATTACTTTTTTTAACGTCTTCATTTTACCCAAACATTAGTTGTGCTGTTGCAAATGGCTTGTAAGTTACAGAGATGTAGATAAAATTTGAATTCCCGAAATCCGTATCGATTTCTGTTAATATCTGTCTATCTATCTATCTATCTATCTATCTATCTATCTATCTATCTATCTATCTATCTATCTATCTATCTATTTCTGTCAATGTCTATCTATCTATCTATCTATCTATCTATCTATCTATCTATCTATCTATTTCTGTCAATGTCTATCTATCTATCTATCTATCTATCTATTTATTTCTGTTAATGTCTGTCTATCTATTTTTTAATAACTATCTATCTATCTATGTATCTATTTCTGTTAATGTCTATCTATCTATTTCTGTTAATATCTGTCTATCTCTCTATCTATCTATCTATTTCTTAATATCTATCTATCTATCTATCTATCTATCTATCTATCTATCTATCTATCTATTTCTGTTAATGTCTATCTATTTCTGTTAATGTCTGTCTATCTCTCTCTCTATCTATCTAGCTATCTATTTCTGTTAATGTCTATCTATCTATCTATCTATCTATCTATCTATCTATCTATTTCTGTTAATGTCTGTCTATCTATCTATCTATTTTTAATAACTATCTATCAATCTATCTATCTATCTATTTCTGTTAATATCTCTCTCTCTCTCTCTCTCTATCTATCTATCTATCTATCTATCTATCTATCTATCTATCTATCTATTTCTGTTAATGTCTATCTATCTATCTATTTTTTAATATCTATCTATCTATCTATCTATCTATCTATCTATCTATCTATCTATCTATCTATCTATCTATTACTGTTAATGTCTGTCTATCTATCTAACTATCTATCTATCTATTTCTGTTAATTAGCAAATAATTGCATTGATTTTAATTGATGTTGTATTGGTTTGCTTTTTTTTTTAAATGATAAGTACTATTTTTATATATCTTTTGTATGACTAACATTTTAATACGGTGGTGCATTGTATTAAAGATATCCATTGACACATCTCATTTTCTTTGTTGAAGATGTCTCAGAATGAATATACTTTCAAACACAAAATTCCTAATGAATTATTTAAAAAAAAAGTTTGCTGTTCTTTCATGTCTCAAGGAATTTGGTTAACGATGGCACCACTCTTTTTGTCTTTTTGTTGCTCTAAGAAACCTTACCATCTTTACACCGATTCCGCATTTTCCTAGATATCGAAATCTTTGTATGTGACAATATTAAACCAACATTTACCTAAATAATCTCACAGGCTATATATATATATTGATCTACATGCATATGTACATATATATATATATATATATATATATATATATATATATATTTGGTTGGATAGGTGTGAGTTTGTGACCCTGGGTTTCACGCTTTAGCGATCGTCAGACAAACTGATTAATTTTTTAAAAATCTGGGTTTATGTAGATTGCGTGTTTTGGTGTTATTGTGAAAGTGGTGGGGGAAATTTTGTCGTTTTGTCATTCATCGTACTAACGCAAACATCAGGTAAAAATTTGTAATCATTATTGTTTAATTTATATGGTGATGTTTAATTTAATAACGGGTTTATATGATATGATGTGATAGTAATGTTTCAAAGGATTTGTATAGACATAACACCACCCGTATACATACATGTGTCATAGCCGGAACTGTCTACATATGTTTTTATATATATGTATGAGTCCCGACGGACGACCAAGTATGTATATGTGTCTGCATACATCGATGTTTGCGTTAGTACGATGAATGACAAAACGACTAAATTTCCCCCACCACTTTCACAATAACACCAAAACACGCAATCTACATAAGCCAGATGTTTTTAAAAATTAATCAGTTTGTCTGACGATCGCTAAAGCGTGAAACCCAGGGTCACAAACTCACATCTATCCAACCAAATATGTTAGCTCTATCTATGATATTGAGCGCTTTCTAATAAGTACCGCGCATATAATATATAAATAATTATACATATATATATTTATTTATATTTATATACACTTTTCACACACACACACACACACACACACACACACACACATATATATATATATATATATATATATATATATATATATATATATATATATATATATATATATATATATATATATATATATATATATATATAAAATATAGATATAGATAACTATACTCGTTTCAAAAAACCTTCGAATTTTTGATTTGCCAATAATCAAATCAATCTCGAGGGAAAAAAGGTTTTAAAAAAGAAAGAGCTAGAAACATGAAAGTCTGTCGAAAAAAAAAATCGCACAGAGACAGGTTTAAAGACCAAAGAAAAAAAACCCGACACGAGTAAACAACTAACTAACAAAAGAGCTCAATACAACCGTAGAGCAGACCTAGATACACATAGTGAGCCAGAAAAACTTACTCAGGTTTCACCTAAGCGGATCGTCAGGGAAAGTATATATATATATATATATATATATATACACAGAAAGAGGGGTTATATATATATATATATATATATATATATATATATATATATATATATATATATATATGTGTGTGTGTGTGTGTGTGTCGGAAGAGAGAATTGCAAGGTGGATGCTTTACCTTGGTGTTTGAAACGTAATGGCTGTTTTCCCTCCTCCATCACATTACTGATATTTTGTTGAGAGTAGCCATGATTATTTTTTTCCTAAGTGTTCCAAATACGTCATGATCACTTGTCTGCCTTTTAATATTCGAATAATTATGAAGATAATTTCCTTGTTGGTCTAAGAAACCTTCACCATCTCTCTTTGTCTTTGCTAACCCTAACCCTAACCCTCCAGCTCGGGTGCAGAGTGGACACGAGGCTGAAGGGTCACATCACGTTGAATCACGGCTTCCCGTACGCTGACAGCAGTTAAACAACATCGACCCCACTTGGTAGAGAGAAGAGGTGGATTTATACATTTCCTAAGGGTATTTGCGTGAATGTAACGAACCAAACTAGAATTAACAATTTAAAATGTCTGGAAAGTCTTTTTACATTATTCGGACTATTGTCCTCATCTTTGTTGTCATATTTATTACAACGGCAAAGAGGAAGACAATAGTCTGAATGATGTAAATAATATACATAATACCTCATCTCAGAAATATAGACATATACTGAAAGGCCGAAACGTTGTAATAAATATGGCGACAAAGATGAGGACAATAGTCCGAATAATGTAATTAGTGTACATAATACCTCATCTCAGAAATATAGACAGATATTGAAGGGCCGAAACGTTGTAATAAATATGGCAACAAAGATGAGGACAATAGTCCGAATAATGTAAATAGTGTACATAATACCTCATCTCAGAAATATAGACAGATATCTGGAAAGACTTGTATGAAACAGAAATATATCCAAAAGTAAGAAGACCAATTCATTTTGGATTGATTCATTCATGTTTTCTAAACTTTATCAACCATTTACAGGATATTTAATGTCTAAAAATGTTTTTATAGTTTAAGTATGCTTTTCAGAGAAAATAATGATTTAATGATACACGTCTTACTAATTAATCCATATCTGGGGGAAGAAGAGGTGGATTTATACCGTTCCCAATGGGATATTCGCGTAAGTGAATATAATTAACCCAGTTGGAATTACAACACGGCTGTACGAATAACAAATTCCGAGCCATTATCCGTTAAACCACAACCAGATCCAAGATTACATCACCCCCTTATCCAAGCTTATAGCACCAATCTTGGCGTTGCTTAACTTCGCTGAGCGTAGTGCAAGTGTTGTTTCAACGTGATAGAGCTGTAAGCAATGCTGCCCACATATTCAAGTTTACACCAGATCCAAGCTTACCACAGCCTCTGATTCACGCTTACAGCACCAAGCCGTCACACATTTAAGTACTGACCAGTCTCGACGTTGCTTAACTTCGCTGACCGTAATGGAAGGGATGTTTCAACGTGATAGAGCTGTAAGCTATACCGCCCACACATTCAAGCTTACACCAGATCCAAGCTTACAGCAGGTCCTGATCCACGCTTACAGCAGGTCCTGATCCACGCTTACTGCACCAAGCGGATCACATATCTATGTACTGACCAGTTTCGACGTTGCTTAACTTCGCTGAACGCATATTCAATTTTACAGCATCTGGCATTTCTAAGCAGTCACCTATGTAGGTACTGACCAGTGTCGAAGTTGTTTATCTTCGGTGATCCTTTGTTTCAACGTGAGAGTACCAAATGATGAGTACGCAAACAAGAATTGCCTTTGTTAATGAATTGGTTATTTATCTTTTTAAGTATGGCCGTTTTGCTGAGCTAAAAAACAGTTTTGAGTCATTTTTTTACGCGCGCTTTTGGTTGATATCAAAATCGGTCTTGACCTTGCAGAAAACGAAATACTTTAACTGTGGCAATAGGACAGGTGACTCATATAGAATGACTTCTGTCATCAAAATAGAAGCAGCAATGTACAAATAAAAAAATAAAAAAAACATAAAGAATTCTCGTCATAATTATTCGAATATTAAAAGGCAGACAGGTGATGATGACGTGTTTGGAACACTTAGGAAAAAATAATCATGGCTACTCTCAACAAAATATCATTAATGTGATAGAGGAGGGGAAACAGCCATTACGTTTCAAACACCAATGAAAAGCGTCCAGCTTACAATTCTCTCTTCATAAACACACAGACAGAAACACACACACGCACACATATATATATATATATAGTAGTAATCCTATAGGTATAAGAAACTACACTCGTTTGAAAACCTTCGGTGTCTTGATTTACAAATAATCAAACCAATACCAAAGTGAAAAAAATAGCTATATAAAAAAGAAAGAACCAAGAACATGTACGTTAGCCGAAAATAATCGTCTAGCATGTAAGTCCAAAGCCCAAAGAAAAAAAGCCCTTTCGAGTAAGCAAAATAACTAAATAAAGTGCTCAATACGGTAAGCAGAGCAGACCTAGACGATTTGTAGGTTTGTCTGGCTCTCTAGGTTTAACTACTAACTAACTAACTAACTAACTATATATATATATATATATATATATATATTGGTGTATATGTATATATATATATATGTCCAATTATATTGTGTATCTATATTTATATTTACGTATATTTCTGTATGTATGAATATGTTTATGTATGTATGTATGTATATTAGGATACATGTATATGTGTGTGTGTGGGTATATGGATATATGTTCATGTATGTATATGTATGTACGTTTATGTATGTATATGGTTGAATGTCTGTGTAATTATGCGTATGTACGTATATATCTGTACTTGTTATTGGTATGTATATGTTTGTATATATATATTTATATATATATATATATATATATATATATATATATATATATATATTTGTGTATGTGTGTGTGTGTGAGGGTGTATATGTGTGTGTTGACACCTATATGTGAGCTTGTTTGTGTGTATGTGTAGGTATGTAAACTTTGGTTTGTGTCTACTGCCGCGTGTGTAAGTCTATGTGTGGATATATGTATATGTATGTGTATTTGTGTGTGTGTGTATATATGTATATATATGTATATATGGGTGTGTGTGTATATGTGTATATATATGTATGTCTATATGTATTTGTTTTTATATGTGTTTATGTGTGTATATATGTATATATATATGTATGTGTATATGAGTGTGTATTTATGTGTATATGCGTGGATGGGAGTGTACTTATATATGTGTATACGTGGATGTGTCGATACGGGTATTTATACATGAATATATATTTGTATATGTGGATGTATGTTCGTATGTCCCAGTATATTTATATGTATGTATATATTAGTGCCTTGGAGTATATAATCGATACTATTAGGTTGGTACAAAAATAATGACGTAA